AGTTAGTTGTGGACCTGCTAAATCACTACACCTTACCAGTTTAAACCTGAGCATTAGGATGGTGGTTAGGTGCAACGAAAAAAGATCTTTCATGTGTGTTTCTTACATTGTTATAGAATCTTTGCTGCAATTGCTGCAATAGCACTTCCAGTCTACTTTCACCTACCTTCATGTTGTTTATGAAGGGGTGTTCTATCAAAATGTGAGGTTTTCAAAAGATTCGAAAGTTTCGATCGCATGGTATAAAGGCAGAATGTTTTTCTTTTGTACTAGATATTTAATCGTACAAACACTGTGATACAATTGCAGTTAACTGGATCAATTTTTACTTTTTTACTAATTCGCTTTCTAGTTAGCCGGTTTGCAGATCAAACCGCCAAAATCTGGTCACTAAACTCAGGAGCATGTCTGTACACATATACTGGCCATAGTGGGTCAGTGAATTGTGTAGCATTTGCGCCACAATCGGAAAATCTCACTGCCGACGTCACAGTAGCTACAGCAAGTGGTGACGAGTCAGCTCACATCTGGAAGGTCACTATCGGCTCGCAGTTGGTACTAAGTTCTGATGATGATGACGAGGATAAAGCTGCAGCGGAAAGCGGACCTGGTGAAAGCGAAGCTGCTTTACACCAATCAAGCACTGATGGCATACGGGTGAAAAACACACTCATGCGATTAACTGGACATACAGGAGTCGTCATCGGTTGCGACTGGCTTGCAGGTATGCAATTCCCGTTTTTTTTGCAACTTTCATGAGAGCACAAAGAATATTTTGATGAGCTCATACAAACATTTTCTCACGATATGATTATTTTTGTTTGAACACATGCGAGGTACCAGAACTACAATGATTTCTCAGAAAAAAACAACGTTAAATTCTACGGTAAGAAATCAATGAAAAGAAATAGTTAGGCCAAGCCACGTTAAATTATGACAGATATTGAAGATAGCAAAAGTGAGTGCGTAATATGTCTGCAAAGGGACGAAGTTGTTGGGTTCAGTGCAGGCAGTGCCATTAGATAAATCCATATCCGAGAATTCAAGAGCATTAACTTTAAGGCTACTACTTTCTTTCCATGTAATTTACACAACCCAGGTTCCCTTTTACTTTCTAACTCTTCTCCGAATGTGCCT